ATATTTACTCACAAACACCAACAGATAAATCTTTCAGGTCAACTTTAATTTGTGGTTTCATTTCGAAAGCACGTTTGACATATTATCGAGCATTGATCAAATTTGCGTTTTAGAGGTAAAAGCAACTGATAAAGTATTTATAATTCTGACAAGGGCTTAGTGTCGGCCCACAAAGAGCGAAATTTGCCATAATCCTGGCGGACGTTAATTCCATTTAGCTTGTCTGCTTCTCCCATCAAAAGCAAAATGGACGTGATTATCTCACAAGATATCACACTTGGACAGGCATGATTCTGATTTTCGGTACTCCCGTACTCGTAGTGTGTGTACTAGGCTAGGGTTAGGGCATAATTTTATTCCGATTTTCCCTATTTTAGATCTATTACTAGTTCGGGGACTGTCTGTGTTAGCGAATTGAATATATATATAGCCTGCCCATAGGTTTCAGTCCTTGAAATAAAGTAAGCGAACAAAATTAGTTACCTCCATATTGGTACACATAGTTCTAGAGCGCAAATTTTTCTTTGAAACGTATTAATATTTGTGGTGTAGTACCAAAGGCAAGGTTATCTTCCTTCAGAAATTTGCCTTGTTTCGATACAAACAAAATATTTTCAAGCTTATTGATAGGAGAGAATAATGGGTGCAACTAACCCTAACCCTGCCATCGTTTGGTTAGGTTAAAACTGAAATTACGAGATCACACCACGTGGAACCGAATAAGGAAACAGAAAAGAATCATCTCTTACTAGTTTTATAGCATGGAATGCACATACTCGTTGATAGTACCGGCCTACCCAACTCTATTTTCAAAATTTCAAGGTCTTGTCTCATGAGATTTAGATTACTGCGAATATTGAACATTGATTTCTAAATGAATGAGTGAACTTTGTGATCATCAGAGTATCATTGGCCATTTATAACTATTTTTCACTTAATAAAATTGCAAGAAGGATAATGAAAATACGAACCCATTATATATGGATGACGGTAGAAATAAAAGTAAATAAATAAATATCTACCTGTAGATTGATTTCTTTAAAATCAGTCCAGTTGTCACAAGTTTATTTGAATTATTAATTTATTGATCCGGTTTTGATTTTTTTAAAAACCGAGCAAAACGTATTTATGATTAAATGGGAAAGATTCAACTATTCTCATATGATTTTATTGAGAACTTTCAGCTTCTGTTAACTAATAGGGTTCTTAAAAGAGCCAAGAGCCATAATCCACAAATGCGAAGCAATGTTTACCCACCGCCTTAGATAAATAGCACAACTTATCACTTCTTTTCTAAAGCCCTGTGTTATCCAACTGGGATAAAAATCCAATTCATTCAAGTGCAGCAGAATAACTTCGTTTTGTTGTATTTGGGGCATTTCAAAATATAATCAACACACTTAATAAACCAGGTGAAGAAGATCGCAGTACTCGTCATCCAAACTATGGTAAGAAAAAACAGCAACTATCAGGTTACTGTTACATATAAGCAAATCACAAATTATGTTGATCGCCAGCGTCCATTCCAGTAGCTTAATTTTGTAACTTGAAACTATATATAAGAACAATACAAATCAAGTTAAACTAAGATAAACTAAAACACTTCAAGTTCTGTTTAACTTGTAATTTTAGTTCATTTTTTGTTATACGAAAGAATAAATCAAGATTAGACAACGCTCGCCGGAAGCCTATAGAAGTAGGGTTGGTTGCATGAAATCTATAGCTGATCTATTTTAAGAAGTAAATGTTGCAAAGATCAATAAACAATCTTTAATATGCCAAATACTCAGCACACATGATGTTTGAATGTGAAGTTTGGTAGCCTTCAAATTGTGTAATTTGTGATTCCTAATTGATTATGTTATACTAAAATTCTGAATAATTTTTTCCCCGCGGTAGTCACTCGGTAGTCACAAAGACAAGCAAATAAAATTGTGTTTGTTGTGTTATATACGCTACTTTGATGTGTTTATTATCGTTACAGTGTATATTACCTTTATTAATTAAATGGTAGTTAGAAATGATCAAAATTTTATTACTGCTATTGATTGTAAAATATTCGGCAATAAACTGGTATGGTCTATTATTAAACAGCTAATTGAAATTTATGCATTTATGTGGTTGCCAACAAATATGCACGAGGTAAATCGTTTACCCACATTTTATGGTTTAATGGTTTATTAATGGTTTTCCAAAGTAAATACAAATGTGATTTATCTAGGGAATGCTAACGAACGTAGACATACGTTTATACTATTGTCGTTTTACTGTGTATGCACAGCTGACTACCAGATGGACTATAAACTATAATGCTGTAGAGTACATTCTAGCAATTATGCGAGCCAACGCATCAGATATTTGGTCCTCGTTGTCGTTGCCATGGAAATTCAAATTTTTAATTTGCAAAAATATTTTCATGTACTGTGATTATTTTATCACAAATAATAAATTCTTTCATTACTTCCAACAGACCTAAGATTCCAGTTCTACGGTTCACTAATGAATCAAAATCGTGAAAGACTCTCGAAAAATCAATGACGGAAAAGAATGCCAACACCATAGAAACCTCTGGCCAATCCATACTTCCAACCCAGATAAAAAAAAATAAGTAAAATAGTCTTAGGCTGAAACTGAAAATATTTTACAAAAATATACACTAGGAGAAGTGTGATCCATAGATAAAGATGAGATGCACAAAATCGGTGCGAAACTGCGTCCCATCTATGTGAGCACACATTATTTCGACTTTGCACAAAAATTAAAATGTTCAAAACCCGACCGATCGCGTCTGACCGTATTCATTTAATTAAAATTCTTGTAATATAAGTTCAAAACGTCAAATAATTTATAAGAGGTAATAGTCTTTTATATAAAAGACTTCTAACGAGGTTTGTGGGCTTAATTCAACTACAAGTTTTCCTGCTGACAACTCTCATCTGTTTCAGTCAAACATTGGTCGCTGATTGTAATTGACTGTTCATTTTTGCAATATTTAGGAAAGATCAAAATTTCCCTATTTAGGATTAAAAGAAATAATACTACTAATTTTGTTGCCCGACGTATAGTTCGATTGGATCGAATTATTTCATATTTATTCGTAGGAGCGGAATGCTTATAAGACAGTCCAAATGTATAACGGAACCACAATCTTCTGACTGGGTGGAATACCCTATATGGCTGCATAATTATAGCAAGTTGATAGTTCCATATGTATAAAATAAATTGAGCAGGGAATCAGGTGACAATTTGATCAATAATTTCATGTCCTACAGAAAAGTTGTCCTTCTTGTTCACGTCCAGGTTCCATTGGAAATAACATGATGAGTGGTTTCTATGTTTAAATGTCAATTAACCAGGACATTTGAAATGTGTTTCGACAGCTCTTTAATTATAAGTAGGTGATTATGACTTTTCTCAAAACATTTTATTCAAACATGTCAGGCTAATGCAGTTATGTTATCAGATATGAGAGTTCATTTGACCCAAAATCATCACGACATCGACAACACAGCGGTCAATTCCAGGAGTTTCCTAATTTATTCATGACTCAATGGCACTCGTTTTGCGACGCGGAAAATTCGTTTATATTTTAGAGCTAATTAGACCAAAGACCATGTATGTTAGAAGACATTTTTCATTTGTATGATCTAACAAGCATGTGCCACATGTAATTATGGTTTGGCAAATACTATCCCTGCACATGGCTGAGAAAGAGTTGAAATGGATTTACATTTAGTTAATTTTGCATGTTGAATAATTTATGTAACAATAAAATTTGTTTACGAGATTGCTTCCAATATCATTTGATTTAATCTTGACTCTGTCGATAGTGAAATTCTGGACAATAAACTACGTGCACAAGAAATCAATGGCGAATTCAATACCTTTTATGCATCATATTTTCGGCGCTCCAGAAGTATCTGTACCAATATGGACTACTTGGTTCGCCTATTTTACATTAAGTTGTGTTAAGGGACTGAAACCTATGGGCAGGAAGTATATTCACTTGGCTAACACAGACAGTCGTCGAACTCGTAATAGAAATTATGGAAAATGGGATTAAAATTATGGCCTAACCCTAACCTGGTACACATACTACGGGAGTACCTATTTTTCAGACATATGATGGTATCAGTAGCATTGGTTTACGTGTTATAACAGGCAAACACATTTCCGCGATCCAGTATTTGAACGAAGGGATTTGTCAAACACAAATATGGCGATATATTCACTATTTACTTCTAGATTTTCAAATTATTTCTGATTTTTTTCGTACAGAAACATTAACAGAATATATGACACAATTGTTACCTCCTATGACGGCCTATAGTATAAATAAAGTATCCAGATGGGAAGCATCATTAGGTAATTTGTGATAGACCTCCCTCGATTATGGCGGATTTACGCGGACTATCATTCATTGAGAAATCTGGCAGATTCATCTTACCTGTAACCACATTCCTAATACGAAAGAATAATCTAGCGACCACGTGTCACAGTTTGGTGAACACAGACAAAGCTTGATTTGTCCAATAAATTGTAATTTGTGTCGAAGATATGCCAAAATGTTGTCCCTAAAATGTTATTTATGGGACAAAAATCAATAACATTAGAAAATCAACAAAAGAATTACAAATATTAGATATATCTTGAGTGTAGTGTACACATTATTATCGGAAGCCATTTGTCGTGCACGAAATACAAATGTAATTGTGGGACATTCGTTTGAGAATAAGACATCTTTTAAAAATATTGGCAATAGTAATAGGAGAATATTTAATAGTCATGACTCTATCATACATTATTACTTTTATTAAAGTTCCGTGAATACTGTCATTTAATCGAAAAATGAAATACTATAATTACAAATTCTCGTGACTATATTTCATGTTCGAGTACCGTCGGCTGTCATTGAGTAAATGCGAACATTTTTCGAATTGACAATCGCGTTGCATATATTAGGTTCACTGTTGATTTTGAGCTTTCGTAAGACAAACGCATCATGGTGAATTTGTGTAAATTTATTAAAAGCAAAAAGACAAGACATACAAAAATAGCATAGAATATTGTTTTATCCCTATAACAAAAATTATAGACGGAAAAAATGTACCACTGGCACACAGAAACAATTAAACATATTTAAAAAAATTCCAGTCGCAATCAAGTATATATATACTAATAATTTGCAAGCTTATATTAAGGTCTTCAGTAAAAACCTAAAACTCCGATGCAAAAACTACATTAATTTAAAATATACGTGTCCGTACAGAATTTTAAATGATTCTTAAGTCGAAATATAACATACTCCACAAATCGGATGGAGTCAACTAATATAATCCAATGGGTTTCTAGAAATGATATTCCATAGCTTGGTGTAACGTTAAGTCTCCTAGAAATAAACATCGTTAACCAAGGCAGTGCTTGCACTTTATATCAGGTAGAGAACATTTATCAAGAAGGAGGCTTATGACTAATAACATTGCGATCAATACAGATTATTTTATGATAGAAAATCATATTAGATTTTACATTAGGAAGCAGCTGCTTTCGATTTGCTATAAAAATTGAAAATAAAGCCAGAAATAATATACCGTGTTTCCCCGAGAATAAGACTGGGACTTATATCAAATTTCTTTCGAAAAATAGCACTAGGGCTAATTTTTGTCGGTATTTCTTTTATTTTCATTTATCAAAAACAAAATTACAAAGTAGAGAATTACGAGATTTTCGAATATACAAAATATGAAAACCGATATCCATTTACTTATAAATAACACGTTTTTATTTAAAATAACTACTGAACATAGATTATTAATCATTTAAAACGAGTAAGAGAGATTTCTAGTTATCGACTAGGTCCTATTTTAAGGGGAGGGCTTATATTAAAATCATTTTTAAAATTTAGGCTAGGTCTTATTTTCGTTGTAACACAGTATGAAAAAAGCACGTGCATACTACATGAATATTTTACACAATTTTCCCCTCCATAAGTTATCAAAACATAAATGGTAAAAAGTAAGCAGCAATTTTGTATTTTATTATTGAAACTCGTCCAAAATGTTTAAAAAGGAACAAAAAGTTTATAAAAGGTCATTTATCACATTGAAAAATTTAGACTGTTGTACAGAAAATCATTTGCCAGAATTACAAATAATTAGCATAGTACTACCCATACGACCCATATTAAAAGTAAAAAATGACTGTTGTAGAAAAGGAATAGCTGAATTTCCTGCATGGCTTATACAGATATTTACGTCACATAAAACATGCTTGTTGTTGGATATCGGACTATGAAATGATATATATATTGTATTTTATAATTTTTTATATACGTACAAAATGAAATCTGTGCTATACAAGGTTTATATCGATTTTAGTCAAAAACAATAATTATGACGTCATATTATCGAAAAACTGTTGCGCGAGTAACGATATAGACTATTTTCTGTTGCTGTTATAAAACAATTTATCAACGTTTCAACAGCTCTTAATTGATTGTATTGATGAAATTGAAAGTTTACATATACAGAGTCATAAATAATATATTTCACAAGGACTAATGAATTTATTGTACACGAGAGATATAAAAAACGAGCACTAAATCAGTCGGTCGCACTAAAAGCTATGTTGGTTGCATTAGCGAGCAAACGTAGAAGTGAAATGTTGGGTGGTTATCAGCTTATCTATCCCCATTGTTTCACGGGCAACATTTTTGAATGATGTATTTATACATGTATTACTATGTTTCCTGTCAATACAGTGTTGTTTTAATCCATATTTCAGTATGTTGTTGACTCTTGAAAATTCCAATTTTCATATCATGGAATAATTATTTTTATACCTAATCAAAGATGGGTGATTGGTAACGTGTACCTCCAAAACGCGGTCTATCTCTACTTCACACACGGCAGGAACTATATTATCATGATTTTTTTCCTTATATTCACGTGTATTGCTATAATTGAGTGCTTTTTCGTCAATCTGATAAAGGAAAGATAGCTCGTCTCATTCTGAGACCTCCCAACAATGCACAGTGGTCAATAGGTGAAGAAATTCATCTTTCATTCTCTTACTTCGGCTGATTTCGCTTCGATGCCTCTGAGAGGCTCCCATTCATGATGAGTCTTATCATTGTCATTGTGATTTATTATGTCTGCCCTTGTCGTAAAGTTGAGTCGCCTTTCTTCAGGCGCTGTTTGTAACACTGGAGGCGACGAGAAATATTCGTAATAAACGCCGGAAGTTGTATCATCGATTGCCAGGTGACGACACTCCGGTGGCCCATTGATTCCGACTCTTTCTGCTTCTCTGGCATTTCTGCCTGCTGGGTGAAAGGGCTCGTAAATATCTTCACTACTGCTGAGTTCATGAATGCCTTCTTTATGTTTATTGCCATTTCCATTCTCCTTCGTTGATGTTGTCCCAACTACTTTCTTGGTGTCGCTGCTACACGTTTTATCAGGGGTGAGTGGAGACCGATTGTCATCACGTGCTAGAGTCATTTTGTACGCACGTGTATCCTTACAGGCAGCTAAGTTTGACCCGCACACTTCTTTTACGTTATTTTTGAAGTTTGTTGTTGTAAATGCGTAAACAATTGGGTTGACGCAACTGTTTGCGTACGCAAGACACACGAAGAATGGATAAACTGCATTGTAAAAAGATTCGTTGAAAGGAAACCAATCCCACCATCCTGAAATTGCGGAATATGCAAACATCATCTGTTTCGGTAACCAGCAGACGAAAAATGCAGTTACCACTAACGCTGCTAACACGGCAACGCGTTCTTTGCGAACACGTTTGCTTATGAGTTTCATACGTACCGTACGCACAATGCGTAAGTAGCAAACACATATGACAATCATGGGAATCAGAAACCCAACACAGGCTTCGATGAGTTCAAGCATTCCCATCACAAATTTTTTGTGGCCGCTGACTGGCACGAAGAACATACAGACAAACATGCTGTTCGGGTTGTTCTCCGGTGCTACTGTAGTTTGCCAGCTAGCACTAACATTTTCCAAAGCATTTGCGGTCATATTTGAAGAAACTTCATTCCTGGAATACTCTTTGACAATCTGGTAAATCATGCGTGGAATTGAAAACAATATGGCCGACGTCCACACGACCAGACACACTGATCTTGCCATAACAGAATTTCGGACAGTATTTATTGTAGTTGCATGCACAACTGCTATCCACCTGTCTACACTCATGGCTGTTAGGAAAAATATACTAGCATACATATTGACGCTTGTGACAATAGCGACAATTTTGCATGCTGCAACACCAAAATTCCATTCCATGCGGTTTAGGTACGTTTGGGCCCATAATGGCATTGTACAAGCAAATATGGCATCAGCAATAGCTAGATTGAATAGATATGTTATTGTTACGTTCCATGTCCTTCTTTGGCGGAAAAGAACGTAAATTACAACCGAGTTTCCTATGATGGCAACGATAAAAATGGCAATAAATACTCCAGCGATAGCGGTATAGGCCATTCCCTCGGTTGTACCGGTAGATGGAAGATAGCTGGACGTGGTTTCCACTGTCGTCGTCTCCATCTTCCACTTTTGATGTCTCGGCTACGGGTTTAAAACGGTTTCTATATAGTTTTTATCAATATATATCGCATTATACAAACTAAATTGAAATAAAAACAATTTAGACATATCGAAAAGAAATTGAATTGAAGAATACACAGATTTTAGATTTATTTTCCGATAAAGTATGGCCACGTTCATCACGTCGGTTCGGCAAATAAAATCACTCAATTGTAGGATTTGTTTTTGACTGGAAAGGAATTGAATTTTAATTGAGTATGAAGACAGATCAAAATATTGTTTCAATCGCTCGACCGCAGATCACAAAAATCCTAAATAGGAATCCAAAAGTAGAGACAAATATGTTATTTTTTAAACTCCCAGATATTTGTTCACGGAAGTTCAAAATATTATTGAGGTAAAGCAGCACAACGCTGCGAAAAGTTCAGCAATTTTATCATTGAAATATTAAAAAAAATTGTTTAATCGTTTTTTCATACAGTAGTGAGTCCACAACGCACTACAATAAGGCTTAGTAATAGGTAGCATTCAATTAATAACTGACCAACTCGCGGACAAAAAAATTGGAGCTCCAGAAGTGTGTGTACCAATATGGAGGTAACTAATTTTGTTCACCTACTTTACATCAAGTTGTGTAAAGGGACTGAAGCTTATGAGTATATTCACTTGGTCAGCACAGACAGTCCCTGAACTCGTAATAAAGCTAAAATAAGGAAAATCGGAATAAAATTATGGCCTAACCTTAACCTGGTACACACACTATACGGGAGTACCGAAAAATTTCCTGCACTGTTTCATTTCAAGAAATTCCTAAACTGATTCGCAAAAGTTGATTACCCACGCAGGGCACTGAATTGGCAGCCAAACAAAATGTTTACTTAGGAATAAAAAGTACTCAATGATTTATGCGTAATTAAAAGTCAATTGAAATCAATTTCTACAACAATGAATCACATTCCTCTCATTAAAATTAAAAGGATGAATCCAGATCATTAGAAAATATCGAATGAAAGGTTACGCTTGGCCATCGGCGTCACATAGTTTAATTGGTTTTCAAATCAATACGTCAATATCGAAACATCCGATCTGACCTAAAGTGTTCCAGTAGGAAGTAGTATAGGGTATGTTTTAAACAACAGATGAAACTGATATTCTGGCTCAAAAATAATCCAGAGACATACTGTGTTCCCCCTAAAATAAGACTGTGTCTTATTTCAAATTTCTTTCGAAAAATAACGCTAGGGCTTATTTTCGTGGGATGTCTTTTATTTTCATTTATCAAAAACGAAATTACAGGGTAGTGAATTACGATATTTTCGAATATACAAAATATGAAAACCGATATCCATTTACTTATAAATAACACGTTTTAAAATAACTGCAAAAGATAAATTATCAAACAATTCAAACGAGTAGGAGAGATTTCTTGCTATCGACTAGGTCAAAAAATAAATTTGCGCTATCGACTATAGGTCTTATTCTAATGGGAGGGCTTATAAAAAGCAATAATAAAATTCAGTCTTATTTTTGGGGAACACGGTAGTTCATAATATCCTTCCCAAAATTTTAATATCGATCTGAAAATAAATCGCCAAATCTGGCAACGCTACTAAGATATTTGACAAATCTGTTTATTAATTTTAGATTTCGCTTATCGCTCATATTACGTTTGTTTTGTCTTCATATCTTGTTTGTTTATCATATTTGATATTTCGATATGGATTGTTCACAAACACTCGAATAATATAATATTTATCCAAATATTCAATATTGGGATACAATAATTTCTGATAATACACGACGGGACGCTGTATATAGACATTAACGGAAATACTAATCTCATATATGTAAACCTAGCTACCTTGAGTATAAAATGATGGCTCAAGCAAAACCTCATCAACAAAGAAACTAACTCAAAAGTAAAGCTGATGAAGGAATAATATTTCATGCAATGTTACATATGACTACAAACCGGCATACCTCAGTCTCAGGCCAACGTGACACAAGGCTTAGAATTGATAGTACTTTATTTCTAAAACGCACAAAGTCTATAAACGTGAATATCTACTTTTTTTTATATAACGGCACAGAAATATTATGATCATCCAGTCACACAAAATACATTAACTTTGTTTCAAGTGCCCTTATAATGATATCAACGTGTCCTTATCTGTGTGCACAAGTCCCAAGTACTTGACAAACGTAGCAAACAATACTCATTCTTTGGATATATTCTACATTATTGTTTGTGACGTTATTTCAATGAACCGAGCACTTTTTGCGTGGTCTGCTAGCTAATAATTTCATTTGCAACCATAACGATTTAAATTCAAAATTATTACAGATTCACTTCCATCTCATCAACCGAGAGCAATAATCATATTACGTTGCGCAAGATATTGAATTAAAATTATGTAATTATTTAGTTTATTCAAGCATTCAATTCCCCCCAGACAACACAAATATCAACATACTGTAATTGATTGGAAGATCTGAATTCAAATAAACACAAATAGGTCAAATCCGCCTGACAAAACGATCTGACAATTACTTAGATACTAAGCTGAAGATTTGAATATTAAATTTAACTTAACGACTAACGAGACTCAGGTTTTTATATACCTCACAATGCCTGAAAATGGCAAATATTTTATTTCGGATGATTAGCCTTCTATTTTTGTTGCAAATTTATTAGCTCAACCGTAACTGATAAAATGACAATTGGAATTTGTTGGCAATATATTTAAAATCGCGGGAAAAAGTCTGTTATGCTGCCAGGTTGCAAGTTCTGTAGGGTACTTCTGCTTATAATAACATCTGAATCTACCAAGACTTGCAAGTTTTTGGCATTAATAAAATATAAAATCGAAAACCTTACAATTACATATCCAAGACCCGCTAGTTCCCTTCTGTCTAATCGAGTTCTTATTAATCAAAGTTTTAATCAATATTATAATATATCTCTAGTGAAGCGAAAACTCTGAGAGCATTACCGCTGTGCAATATGTGTAATTCCGTACATACGGCAAACGACATTTGCACTTCCTCCGGCGAAATACGCTGATAAAAGGCGGCGCGGTCATTCATTAAAATGACATCCCATAAAATGCGCGTGAGTGCACTCTTGCTCGCTTGGTAAGAACAAAATTCCTTTTCGCCACGATGGTGGAGTCTCATAAATTTAACGATTCTGTACTGGGTTAACCCAAGAGCAAAAAGCTATTTCCGTAGCGACCTGAAATAATTAAAAAATCTTAATGGCATTTAAGGCCGTTAAAGCGAAGCCAAGGACCTTGAGATGGCTTACTAAATGGTCTCTTGGTTGATTTCCTTTTTGAGTGGGTGCTTGTATATTTACCTACAATATCATCAATACCATACGCTTATATAACCTCGAGTGTGCTTTAAAATTTTCCCCATTTGGAGTCTTTTCTGTTTATAAATATCATATTCTTAACCTCAAATAGAAAGTTAAAATTACGTTTGACGTTTCGCTGTGAAATAATAGACGAAACTCTAATAAGTTAGAAACCCACTAATGACATCTGTTTAGAGAAGTATAAAATGCCAAAACGATAAATCTCGTTTTATAAGCTCGCTCGCTTATATCTATCAGAAACTGTCATATATTAAAACACACAATCTTTTCATATACTAATATTGCCATCTGAACCTTTTCGCTGTTGCATATATTTGCATATATAATGCCTTGTTGGCTGTTCAACAGTATCAATCAGATTTACTGCTCCGTGACAATTGAACTAATTGCTTCAATTGCCTTTACTGCCTGCATTGATGGTATCGTTTTACGCTGAGAGCATTATAATTACCCACACGGTAATGACGGTGTTTATGTTTACGCCGCATGAAAATAATAAGTCATATGCGATCAGAGAGGATTACGAGTGGACTGAATTGCCAAAAACGAATAATAAATATGGTATTACCCCTTCAATTATCCTATGGAAAAAAACAAACAGGTATTTTCAATTTAATTTTAGAATTACATTCCCGTCAGTGTCTCGTTATTATGCAGGTAGCTGACAAGGCAAAACAGAGAGGGATCGATAAAATGTTTCTCATAACATGAGCAGGATGCTGTTTTAATCCAACAGCAAATTAACCCTCATATACCTGTAACGATTGATTGTGATTTTGTTATTGGTGGATCATTTTTACGAAGTTATATCCGCGGTCAACGGCGTGTTCTGCTCATAACCGTTTTTGGCCGTATAATTTCGATGGATAGGTAATGACAATATTATACTTGGCATATTTACCGGTAAACACCAGAGGAATATTCCATCTTCATTATAAAGTAATTTGCACCGGAGATATAATTTTGTATCGATCGGATTATCCTTATTCAAAATTGCTGGCTTTCTGGTAGCATTAGGTATCGCAGCTCGAAAATTGCAACCATTACCATGCGCGTTTTTATAAGTTGCCACGTCTTTTTCCATATCAAGTACCGATATGCAATGCAATTCAAAATGCAATGCAGATATGCAAATACTAATAGGACGATGGAACTATTTTGTTTCTGCAATATCCAATGGGGTCTGCTTTCAATAGAAAGTATAGGTGTGCGCAGATATACATTCATAATACTGCTTCAAACCTTTGAATGGAGTATAAATCACTTTTCTCGATAATACAATTGCGAACACATTAAAAAATAGCGGAGTATGTAGGCGGGCTGAAACTAGCCGAACGCAATCTAATGTGAGAATTTTTTACACTCGATTTGTAGGAAATATCTTATCATGAACGGGGATTCTGTTAGGCGTAAATCACGCTTCATTAGTTGTTTGGACTCGATGAAATAAATTCCTTTTAAAGCAGACCAAACCCAAACTGCGCATATAACAGTCGATTCGGATCTTCCGTAGTAAGCCCCGCCACTACTGCAAAAATGTGAGATTTGAGAAAAACAAATCTGTATTCCTTACCCTAACTGAATAATTACTATTTTTCGGATAAATGCAGATTGCCGAAGCGAACGGTAAATAAAAACCCTGTAGCTCCACTATAGTGGCGGTGTGATTAAATCTTCCATGCGGATCAGCTGCGCGTAGCATCTCGTAAAAATATGCCGAAAGCAGTTTAGTAAGTCGGGACAATCTATACGCAACAAACATCTTCATGAATGCATTCAATTCAAAGCTTAAGCCAAAGCCACAACTAATTGCATTCTGTCGATATACGCAACTATATTTGGATCACCGCTACTAATGCAAAAATTACTAATTTTCTTATTCTAATTTTCTTATACTATCAAACTTAGTCCGAATATGCTAATATAGTGAATAGCATCGCAAAGAACAAGTTTAATTAGAACATACAGACAAATATATCTATAATCACATCGCTGTTCGCCATATGGAACGTGCAATGCAATCCGTCGTACGCGGAACTCGCAGACGGCTTAAATACGTGTCGAAAGAAGTTTACTCCGCGCAACTTCCAATATTGAATCAATATGAAGTTTGTTTTAAAGACTTGCGTAATAAGGCCACAGCGCCAACAGATCGCCGATCGCTAACTTTATTGTGTGAGTATATATGAAAATTTA